AACTTCGATCCAATTGAAGCAAATTTTGTTATATAAACACAACAATCATTGAACAAATAAGAAAAATTAATTTTTCTATAATTTTATTAGTTTTTTTTAAGCATAAAAATTAATATTTGTTTTTACTCAACTAAATAAATTTTGTTAAAACAACTATTATTTTATAATTTAAGAAAAATTATAATAAGCAACATTTTAAGGCACTGCCAAAGTTTAACAACTCCATTTCTTTTATGTTCTGCCTCATTTTTAATAATATCAAGTATACGCCTTGTAAAACTTTTCATTTTCACTAGCTCCCCTCAACTGTTGCCTATGTTCTTTTAATTGCTTCAACAGAGTTCGCAAAGTTGACAAATAGTCTCCAACTTCAACCCCAAATATTTTTAATAATGTCGAACTGCGCTGAGCTTGACAGCAAGCGAGCATTAATCTACATTTTCTCCAATCAGGCGATATGAATTGACATTGTCAGCATTGTCATGCTGGAATGTCCACAGAATGCCACTAAAGACTTTTATAAATTGTTGAAAAGCCATTTGGAGCAAAGACTTGAACATATTTGCATTTTTATAACAAATATCAGAGCAAAACAACAAAGTAAAACTCAAGCTAAATGCCTTATTATTCTGGCTTTGATTGCACGCCAAAAAAGGCTAAGAATAGCAAGTATTTATAGCTAAAATATAAAATATTATTATATATATAAATTTATATATATCTCTAATTTACATTTATTTTATATAATATTTTATACAATAAATATTTATTTATGAATTTTATATAAAATTTTATTAAAATTCAGAAATTTTAGTTGTATAAGATATTGACTAAATATTGATTTATGATTTGCAACAAAATTATTTAAGTAATATATAATGCTCTGCTGAGAAAGTCAAGATACGCTGAAAATATTGCCATTACTATTTGAGTTAATTACAATAAATAAAATTTGATTTGATAGTAATATAAAACCAAGCAGCCACGCACTTTTTACAGGGTATATCAACTAACTGACTGATGCACTGAAGCACTTTCAGCTGTATATATATATATCAGTTGCTGTTCTATATGCTCACATTTTATATAGTATACGGAAAACACACGAGTCTAAACGCCGGACAGTCAGTCGGTCTGACCAGGGGGCACATGCCACAGCTGCCGCGAGCGCTGGGCAAGAATTTTAATTTTTTTGCGTTGCGCGCGTCGTGCAATAGCGAAAAATGTTGTTTTCAATTTTCAACACTTTTAATAGCCAATTAATTAAATGGCCAAACAACAACAATTACATAAAGGTAACTGTGTGAGTGTGTGTGTGTGTGTGTACATAGCTGTGCACACGTCTGAGCAAATTTCTGGGCAAACAATTTTTTATAATTTGCCATGGCGAGGCTTTATTATTTCTAGGGCAGCTGCCGGACAATGGACTCCATTTTTCATGATCCAGTTGAGGGAAAAAGGCAAAACAAAAAACAATAATAAAGCATATCTATCGTCGGCCATACATAAATCATGTGGGCATTAATATGCGAATACCGAAATGAAAGCTTGTAGCTCGTTATTTATGCCTTTGACAATTGCGAATTATGATTTTTTAAACAAATGTCAAACGTATCGTAAATTACGAATGAAAACAAGCGACTACTGGGACTGGGAGCGCAGCACAACACACTCAATTAATAAAATTACTATTTATGGGATTTTGAGACACACACTAACACTCACACACACACACACACACACGCACACACACATGTGTGAAGTGCTTAAGGCGCAGCTTGTTGACCCGCTTGGGATTAGCAGCAAATTGGCGTCTGTTCGTCCCTACAGCCACAAGCCCAGGCAGGCATCGCATCTTGAAACTTCTGTCAAAGTTTCGTATTTATTTCTATGCATGAATTATTTATGGCAGGACAAAGCCTAATGCCTAATGTGCCCGAGCCCAGCAACCAGCCGAGCAGTAGGTGTATTAAAACTTTTCTGCACCAACTCAAAAGGCATTCGAAAGTCCTGATGACTCCGGCTGCCACCAGGCGAGCTAAGCTCTTAAAGCTGTTTCGTTTGCAACACAATTTGATGGAATTGTTAAGGAAAATTTTCGCAACTAATGACAACAATCAAATACTCTAAAGTTGCTAGAATAGTTGTTGCTAGAAGAGCTCCAGTTGGTATAGTCGATAGAAAACTAAATAATAAGGGATATAAGGTACATGCCAATTCCAGGGTAGACAGAGGGATAGAGAGAGAGAGAGATAGAGACAGAGAGTGAGAGAGATAGAAAAGGAGAGAGAGAGAGGGAGAGAAAAAGAGAGAGAAAGAGAGAGAGAGAGATAGACAGACAGAGAGAAAGATAGAGAGAGAGAGAGAGAGAGAGCTACACAGCGAGAGATAGACAGAGAGAGAGAGACAGCGAGCGAGACAGAGTGAGAGCAAAAGTGAATAAGAGAAAGATATATATATATGTATATATAGAGTGAGAGAGTTAGATAGATATATATATATATATATATCGAGAGATAGCTAGAGAGCAAACGAGACGGAGACAGAGAGAGATACAGAGTGGGAGAGAGATAGATATAGAAAGATTTATAGTTAGTTAGATGCTTCTACTTAGTCTATTTGAATTTGATTACAAATTTAACAATTTTACTGACATTTTATAAAATATAGATTTGCTCTTTTGCTACTAAGAAACACGTTTGCTTAGAGAGAAACTAAAATACGAGACATTGTAGCTGCTGCAGTTGTAGTTGCTGAGGGATGAGCAAATGCTGAGACGGCTTCTGCCTGGGTGGCTGGCCTTCAGTGTACCCAACGCCTCGTCAAGTTCGAAGACTTGAAGCCAGTGCTGGCCAACGCTGATTAGACAATCACCCGAAATCATCGCCTTCTTTGACTCAGCAACAACAGCGCGTATCAGAAGCACTTTGCGCTGAGAATCGAGTGGATTCGTTTACTCGAGTATGCGGAAAGCGAAGCGCTGCTCTAGCTTTATCAGGTTATTCATATATACACACTCTATTACGATTTATACACTATACTTAAATATTTATAGTCAGCTACTTCATGTCAACCCTTTCACACTGCATCGTAGCATTTTTTACTGTGAAGTTGGAAGGAAGCAGTGTATAGTAAATCTGTTTAAATTGTAAACGTAGTTAACTAAGAACTAAGCGCTAAGGACTGCACCACGGCTGAAAACACAAATAGCTGCTGGAGACTAAAGTAAGCCCAAATGCTTTCCACATTTCTCAAGCTCCTTACATAAGCCTTGACCAACTCCTGCAGCTCTTTCAGGCGCAATCAACTGCAATTTCATTAAAATATTTCTGTCTGTCAGTAAGAGTGTCCGAGTTCGGTCAAAAGAAAGACCACATCAAAAAGCAAAGGCTCGCATAACAAATGTCTGCCCAAGGGAGTTGCTATGTAAAATATATTCGAGCAAAAGAAAGCAAATGAAATATATTTGAATTTAAAAAAGCCAAATGATGTGATGGCCAGTTCCAGTCCCACAGCAATGTTGCAGCGTGTATCAGAACTAAAGTGTGCAATGAAAACTTTTGCGGATTGCGTCAAAGATTCTTTGAGAAAAGTTTTGCACCTGCCCCACGCCGTGAGCACACGGCTGAATGTGGGCAATCACAGAACGAATTAGAGTACAACAAGTGGCTGACAAAAGGCGCAAAGAGTTGTTGTCAGCATATGGATGAACACGAAGCACTCGAACGGCTCCACAGTCCCCACTCAAGCATTGTTTTCTCTTTTTTTGTGCCCCCTTTTTTCCTGGGCTATAAATTTGACAGAGTTTTTGTTTGCCAAAAGTGTGCGTGGGGGCGTTGCTGTGGGCAGCAATTAAATAAAGGCTCAAACAGCACTACAGAGCCAAAAAGAGTGAAAGCCTGGTGGGGGCGTGGCAAAGGAACAACATTAAAAGCGACCAAATTGAAGTGGCAGCATTTGTCACCGACAGACGTTCAGGCTCACAAAAAGCGAAGCTCGAAAGGAAAAAAAGCAAATATAATAAAGAGCAAGCGAGCATGTCTCAATTGGGTATACACAACTGCGTGATACACGCTTGGTCAGCAGCAAAACTTGAAAGCTTATATAAATTTATTCATTTCTGATAGATTTTTATAGACAATTTTAACTACTTTCGCTTCAACCTAGCTCGATAACTAGGCTATAATAGCTAGCTACTCTCTGATAATCAATCTACTAGCCAACCAATATGCTCGCTTCACACACTCGGAACGAGCATAAGCAAACCTGAAAGCAAAATCGTCAGCATACTGGCGACAGCTGCCTCAAAAGATGATTCAATTATAGCCCAGGCAATCCGCACTGCCAATGGAACTGGCAACGGCAATCGAATTCATATTATAATGGCAACAGGTGCAAAACACCTTTTGAAACGATTTGGCACTCTGATTGCTGGCTCTCAAGTGCACTAACAGATACCCAGCACAGATACTTGCTGTCTGTGTTTGAGTTCATTTTTGTTTGCTTTGCCAATTCTAGAATTTCTCTTGAGATTTTGCAGATAAATATATATAGATATATATATAGATAAATACATATATAGATAAATAATCAAGATTTAAATTTAAGAGCTGTCATTCAATAGAAATTTGTGTGAGGTGAGCAGAGCTAAGACTGGCTTAAATCTGAACGGGTCTCATTCTGCTGACTCTATCATACACTTTAATCTATTTGTGCAAGTACAGGGTATATAGAACATGTTGTAGCTGCAGCTGCTCAAGCACATTCAGATGCATATTCGATTGTTTCACATAGTTAAAACAAAACAAAAAAAGCTTAAAGCAAATGTTATTCCAGCAGGAAATTTGAGTTTATTTGAATGCTAATCAGAATCCAACTAGACTTATTTGAAGTGGCATCAATTCTCGCTGAGCATAAAGTTATATCAATTTCGTTTTTGTTTATAATATTCAAGTGTAAAATATTGAAATACTTGATTTATAGAGGGCTTTAATACTCACGCATCACGAGCTGCTGCTGCGCTGGTGCTTCCGCCTGGCACTATGTGCTGCTCGCCGAGTCGGCGAGCGGCGAGGCAATGTTGCTGTTGCTGTTGCTGTCCGAGGTGGAGAGGGGCCGGCAGATGCCGAGGCGCGTGCGGCCTGGCGGCATGGCCTTGAGTATGGCCACCGCCTCGTCCAGCTCGAGGCCTTGGAGCGAGTGCTCGCCGACGCTGATTAGACGATCGCCCGGATAGATCTCGTTGGTTGCCTCCGCAGCACCACCGCGTATTAGGCCACGTATCACAATCACACTGCCCTCCGCGTCGAGCGGATCCTGATAGTCGAGTATGGAGAAACCGAAGCCCTGCTCTGACTTTTCAATATGCACCACAGTCACCTCGCTGCTCCACAGCGCCAGGCCGGACATGTTGTCCAGCGACTTGGAGCGCTGAACTGTGGCGCCGGCTGCAGCGGTTGCAGCGCCCGCTGCTGCAGCTGATTCCGTCAGCGTTGCCGTGCTCGACGTGTAGAGGGAGCTCTCCGACTGCGCCTTGCTCAGCAAATTCTGCAGACTCTGATGGCCGCCGGGCAGCAGGCTGCGCGTCTCGAAGGCCTCCGCATTCTGGGAGGTGTTGATAATTGAGGGCGCGCGTGTGCCGCGCGCACAGACCAGCTTCACGCTGGCCGGCAGCTCCTTGAGTATCTTGACCACATCGATGTGACGCAGGCCCTGCAGCTTGTGCTCGTTGACCTGGAGCAGCTCGTCGCCCGGCCGCAGAATGCCCTGTTTGCCGACGGGACCGTCTTCGAGTATCGAGCGTATGTAATGATGCGGACGCTTCTCAATGCCGCACTCGACGTCGACGGTGCCCTCGAGGCTGATCCCTAGACCTGAAAGTTTATTTATTTCGGCAACTAAAATTTCACTTTCGGGAAACTCACTTTTCCAGGCCACCCGCAGCGAGCCGGCGCTGGGGCTGGCCAATTTGACGGGCGTGGCCGTGTCAGCGCACTTAAACGCCGGCACATCCGGCTCATTGGTGGGCGTCTTGCCATGCTCCGGCTCGGCGACGGCTGCAGCTGCAGCTGCAATCGACTCAGTCTCTGACTTTGACTTTGGCTGCGGCTTCAATTCCGGCTTCGGCTGCGGCTCCGGCTCCGGCTCCGGCTCCGGCTCTGGACACTGCTCATCGGTGTCATTGCCGCTGTCATGATCATGGCCATGGCCATGCCCAAGTCCATGACCCATGCCATTGCCATTGCCATTGGTCAGAGGCGGCGCACTATGATCGCTGCGGTCGAGCATGTGCGACATATTCGAGTCGACGGTGTCCCGCGAGGGCAGCTCGGGAAAATCCGGCAGCAGGTGGCCGTCCCCGGCATCGGTAACAATGGAGTCCGCATCGGCGGACTTTGGCGGCAGCCAGCTGAGCGTCGCTATGGACGGCGAGGCGGGCATGGACAGCTGCGACTGGGCATCGCCATCGTTGGCATTGGCGCTGCTGCCGCCCACTTTCATCTCGGTGAGGGCCACCTGCAGATGCTCAAACTTGCGGCCGCGCAGGAAACGCTCCAGCGTCAGATGCACCTCGATGTCCGTGTTGCGCAGCAGCTCCACGGCCTGATGATTGGTGACGCCGGCCAAAGTGCGGCCATCGACGGCCACGATCCGATCGTTGATCTGAATTTGGCGGCTCATCTCGGCGGCGCTGCCCTCAATGATGCTCTTCACAAAGATGCCCGACAGATCCTCCTCCTCGCAGACGTAGCCGGCCACGGTAATGCCCAGGCCGTACACGTTCTTGTGCAGCTCCACGACGTACGTTTCCGTTTCGGGTGAGTCGACGTACGTCGAGGGCGACTCGGAGTCCACGGAGCAGCAGTCGCCGTCGTTTGCCAACTTTTTGCCGGCTATCACATGCTGCTTTCGTTCCCCAACTTGCTCATCCTGATCATCGTCGTCATCATCCACGTCGTCGACGTCGTCCTCCTCCTCCTGATTTTGCCAGCGCTGACCCAATGGCAACTGCAGCGACTGTCGCGCCGTGAGCAGCGCTGTCGTCGGAGGCGGCGACAGTATTGAGTAGGGCACAATATCGAGGTCCTGCAGGCAGGAGCTGCTGCTGCTGGCCAGATTGGCGGGTATCGGTGGCAGCGGCAGATCGGCTAGCTCTGTATCGGGCGCTGGGTCAAGAGCGGCCAAGGGCATGGTCTGGGGCAGAGCCAGTGGCAGTGGCAGAGTTAGGGGCATGGGCAGGGGCAGGGGCAGGGACAGGGGCAGTGACACATTGCCCTGGTCAGCTGTATCGCCAGCTGGGGCGCCAGTGACCAGGCCAACCAGACTGCCCACATCCAAGGGTGTCGTCGCCGTGGCCAAGCTCGGATTCTGAAAGAGATGCCGCGACAGTTCTTCCGGGTCGGAGAGGAGCTTAGTTGGTATAATGGGCGCATGACTGGCCAGCGTATGATAGTCGATGGCCGTCGGCTCCACCGGCCGTGCCACAATCAGACGCACCTGAGCTCCGGTCTGACGAAGAACTGTGGCCACTTGCTCCGAGCTGAAGCCGCGCAGATTTACATCGCCAATCTGGAGCAGATGATCGCCCAGCTGCAGGCGCTGATCCCGCTCGGCCACGCCCCCCGGCGTCAGCGCCTTGATGACAACGCCCGTGCTGCGACCGCCCACCAGAATGAAGCCCAAGCCATTGCCATCGTTGATCAAATCTATAACCTCCACCTGCGACCATTCGGTGCTCAATACCATCTCGCTGCTGCTCCAATTGCTGCTGTACGTGTGGTTCGCTTGACTGTGGTGCGGCGGCTCAAGCTGGCTGCTAACATGACCGCTGGTGGTGCTGTTGGCAAACTGCTGCTGCTGCTGTTGTTGTTGTTGTTGCTGTTGTTGTCTGTTTGTGCTTTTATCTCTTTCACTTGTATTTATTTGAGCTTGCTGTCTCTGTCGCAGTTATTGTTATTGCATTTCGTATTATTCACCTTTGCCACATTTGAATAACGATTATGGCCCGGCCGGGTAACGGCTCCTGGCACCGCCGACGCCACGAACATTTAACGACAACAGCCGCACGCACCGCCACCTGTCCGCAATTATTCAGAGAGAGACAGATAGAGAGAGGGAGGGAGAGAGCGAAAGTTGATTGCGTATACGCAGCGTCTGCCCTTACGTCACGTGGCAGCAGCTGGACTTGCTTTTTTTTATTTATATTATATTTAGTTTATTTTTCATTTGTTGGGCAACCGCGCGCCTTTTTTAATGGCACCTTTTTTGCACGATTTCGTAATTTACATGCACACACACGCACGCCCGCACACACACCCAGCCACACACGCAAGCAAATGGTTTTTGCCTCGCGTTCACGTGCCACGCATGCCAGACATTCAGTAACAGCACCACCCACGCCGCCCGCGCGACGGCAATTAATTTGGAAAATGAGCAAAACCTTTCACTGCACTCGACTAGTTTGCCGAGCCTAATGCGAACAACTCTGTAGCACAATGTGCCGCGGAGACGCGCGCCAGAAGCAAATTGCAGCTAACGATAACTCGAATAAGCAGTCAATAAAAGGTCGTCTATGTGTGTGTGTGTGTGTGTGTGTGTGTATTTGTTGCCTGCTTTTGAGGCAGCATCACGACTTTGCTGTGGTTTTTCTTGCTAATGCTGCGACACGTCTAGAGATGAGCTGATAATTTAAAAAGTTCTTTAACAGTTAGATAAATAAACAGGTACATACAGGTATAAATATATGCATACATACATACTCTCACTGATCAGCCTAGCAAATATTTATACTCAAATGCAGCTGGCCTCCAGGCAAATGAAAACAATTTGTTTTACAACTTCTTTTGCTTGTTTGAATTGTAATTTTTTATTAATAAAGTTAACTTTTTGCACTGAATGACATGCAGTGCGGGAAAATGGGAAATTGGGAAAATGAAGCCAGCGAATTTTTATGAACGTTCGATGATAAAAACTTGTTTATGACAACACTGTATGCAGTGCAAGCAAAAAAAGAGCAAATTGTGCGCTTTTTTTATTTGGCATCAATAAATAAAAAATTATTTCCAGCTCAATTTTATCATTAATAAACTGAACTTATATTTTTTGTTATTATTTAAGAATTTTAAAATATTTTCAATAATTTTAACTGAATTCTAAAATAATAAAAAAATAAATAAAAAATAAATTTATGATTCTCGCTCATGAAGTGAAGGCGTATATTAGCTTAGCGCAATGTTGGACGAAAAACTAAAGCTGAAATTTATTAAGATTGTCCACATATATAGAGGGGCGTGGCTAAGCGTTAAATACTTTATCTGATATAATATTAAAGTTTTTATTTAAGCTGCTTCAAGTTTAAATTTTCAAGTTAAGCAAATTAAGCCTTTAATATAGAGTTGATATACCTGCGCCCATTAAGGCGTGGCAAATTGGAATTAAACTATATCTTACAAAGCTCCCAAAATTTGATTAACTTGCTAACTTAACTTACTAAAGATTCTCTCTTGAGACATAGCAAAAGTTATTGAACTATTTATGAACCTTGAATGAGCATTATTTATATATTATATATTATATATTATATATTATATATTATATATTATATATTATATATTATATATTATATATTATATATTATATATTATATATTATATATTATATATTATATATTATATATTATATATTATATATTATATATTATATATTATATATTATATATTATATATTATATAATATATATTATATATTATATATTATATAATATATATTATTGTTTAACAATTACCTAATAACATTGACTACAAAGTCAGCATTATTCTCTACCATTTCTAAGATTCTTCTATATATTTCTATATTAATTAATGAACTTCTTTACGCCTGCAAATTCTTAGCATTTGCTGCGCTTAGATAACTGAAACTCTCAAATAAATATTGAATTCAACGTAAACGAAATAGAAAACGAATCATTTACAATGAATCCAGCCATACTTTGCACACTTTTTGGCGCTTGGTCGGGCTCATCTCTATGGGCAGCTAATGAGGTGCAGCTGGACGGTGGCGCGATGCCATCATTTTTGGTTTTTATGCTGCGCTGCACCGTTTGGCCATCGAGTGCAGCTGTCAATTCAGCGCTGATTGACTTTACGTTCAACAAAGCACGGATTGGTGCCCGGCGCACGGGGCGTATGATTAACGCGCGCGCACGCTTTTGGTCATTTGTTTGCAGACCTGCTGGCCCCGCTGCCCGGCACTGTGCTTCATTTAACTTGGCTGCGGTTGACGAGCACGCAACTGCGAGGGCCAGCCGGCTGTAAGGGGGCGACAAGCACCATGGCCAGGACGATGGCGTGGACTATGCCATCCCAGACCAGTACACAAAAAGTAGGCCAAGCGCGTTTGAAGTTTACAATGCGTCTGCAAGTGTGTGTGTGTGTGTGTGTGTGTATGTGTTGCAGGGGGATTTGTTGCGTGTGTGTGTGTTGTTGGGGGGCTACTATTTTTATATGTCACAACTTAAGGCTTGCTCCAGCTGCGGCTCCAACTGGTGCTGTGCCAGTTCCAACATTTCAGGTTTTCATTCTCATTCTCATTTTCATTTTCATTTTCATTTTATTGCCGCTGGCCACTGTTGCTTCTAACGCACTTCAAAACGCTGACCCACTAAGCATTATTAGCCGGCGCAGCGTTTTGGCCCGCTCAAGTCAAGTGTCAAAAATCGATAAATGGCGCAAAATATAAAAAGAAAGTGTGCACGATATACATATATAAACATATATAAGCTATTAGGGCGTGGAGGCGGGCAAGATGAAGCCACGGCTTGGCGTGTTTACTCCTTTGCTACTTTGTTGCCTACGCCTACATTAGCGGCCACGCCCACGCCTACGCCTAATGCTTAATGAATTTGACTTTCGACTGCTTATGCCATAGTTGTTTATCGTTCTAGCTGCTGCCGTTGTTGTTGTTGTTGTTGTTGTTGTTCTTGACTTGTTTTTGCCGCAGACTGAACAGGCTCCAGCCGCCTGACTGTTGCTGCGCGGTTGTGGCTTCGCCTTTTGACCTACCTAAGAGCGAGCAAGAGTCGGCGACAAGTCGGCGATAGCGACGGCTTTTAGCCAAATTGCGCGAGCATTGCCTGCAGTTAGCCCCACACAGAAAAGAAAGCAGCTCAACTTGTGAACTTGCTAACCAAAAGTCATGCCACGCAATTACTTAGCAGAGCCAGCCCGATGCCAGGCAATGCCAAGCCAAGACATGGCAAGCCGAACCGTCCTAGAATAATGTCGCGAACAACGCGGCGTATGAGCAATGCCGCAGTTGGTTAAAGCCACGCACACAGCGCGTAACGTGGTTTTTCTATTGATTTAACAAGCTGATGCAGCCAAACAAAGCACGCTAACCACAGCAATCGCTGCCAATCTCTGAGCTGTCCATGTCCATATCTGCAAGTCTGTGTGTGCGCGTAGGTGTGTGTGTGTGTGTGCGTTGGTGCTAACTCAATTTGCAGAGCACTCGCAGCTGTTGCATATTATTAATTAATTTTAAGGGCCGGCTGCGTACATTTGGCCAAACAATATGATTGCACTGGCTCGCTGGCTTTTGGCCACATTTTCATTTTGCGCTCATTCACTCACTTCATAAACACATTGCTCTGGGCCAGCATGGCGGCTGGCTCCACTACGTTTTATTTGCTCAGTTTCTGTGCACTTTATATTCCCCTCAATTGTAATTATATGCTACTTTTTTTTTCTTTCTTTTTATCAGTTTACGCGCGCATTTTCCGGCTCGACAACACGCCCGCACGCGACTAAGCAACTTGGTCAAATGTATTGCCCGCTGGCCAGATTGCCTCTGCTATGCTATGCTATGTCGTGCTCTCCGCTCGCACGTGGCGTCTTGACAGGGTGTTTAGATGCGAATTGCTCTCTCTGTCTCTCTTTCCTGTGCTCTCTGCTGCGGCGCACAGCTGCGCCTGGCTCTCTCGGCTGTTCGGCGCTCGGCACTCGGCCAGTATTTACATATGAAGTTGACGCGCGGCGGCAGCTGGCGGCGCCTGAAGTTGCCGCCGTATAGCATTCATTCAACTTTCCGATTGTGGGAGAGTGCGTAAGAAAGCTTTTGGATACAGTGGCGCCGTTTGTGGTGCTTTCCAAGGGGTCGATTCTCAACTTATGTAGTAAAACACAAATGTTGCTAGCGAATGGTAAACAAATACTTTGAGTTGCATCTGCTCTCTTCTGACGTTCGATCAAGACATGCAAACAAAAGAAATTGTGATCCTTTAGTGTAAAGGAGACAACAATTTAACTTATATGATGCGTACAGCCAAAGCTGTTATCTTTGTTATGCATGTGCGAGCGAGACAAGCAGTTATGCAAGTAGGACCAGAAGTGTGTAAGCGAGACAATGAATACTAATTCTTGTTATGATCTCAGCGCACAAGTGTGAAGTAAACACGAAGATTACAGAATGTTAAGAAAATGTCATTGACTGTATGTATGTATGTTAAATTTGCATATGTGTGAATGCTGAAAACAGTTTTGGCACTTGTTAGACTCCGTCCGGGAGAAGTAAAGGAGTAAGCAGGACAGATAATTTATGCTACAAAATGGCTTTTATATACATATATATTTATACATGCAAACATATGAGCTAGAAATTTAATTTCTGAGATATTTATTATGACTGCTTGAATTCATGTAAATAGACTTCTCTCACCAGGTGGACAACAAGTGAATGCCTTTGGCAGGGAGGCTACGTCAATCAACAAACTTCGTGCGCCTGCTCTGTTGTCCACGGCAACGTTCATGGCCGCAAGGGCTACGACATCCTAATAAACAGGCAAAGTTCCACCTGCCAAGGAGTCGTAGACGGTTGGCAGCACCTCGTAAAGACACTCGAAAGTTACGGTGCAGGTGTTAAAGAACTATGAGCCAAGACACTGCGACGGGCGTGAGGAAAATAACTAGCGAAAAAAAATAATAGGAAGGAACGTATTATTCGCAACTATCGTTACAAAGCACCCGTCTCAGCTGCCTCTTGACCAAAAGCGAAAAGCTGTGGGCGAAATGGGTTCAGTGCACCTATTGGCCAACCCGTCGTCGGTGTCCCACATCTCAGTGAAGTGTCGAAAACGTAGCGAGAAATCAAATTCAGTGAACCCAGTAATCGGTGAACGAAGTGTCCTGTTTAGAGGATGACTTCATGAAAATTTTCAGTAGCTCGCATCTACTCTCAATAATACAACTGGATAAAGACATATATAGTAAATATTCGTTAACTTTATTTTCTAAAAAAAAATAAATAAATCCTGGATCGCATTTGACATACAATAAGCATTGATCAAGCCGGGAAAATCGTTATATGCAACATAACAAAATGACTGAGCCGCCGGTGAACTCTGAAGAGGAATTTTACATGGAGGAGGCCTTCGATGAAGAGGTGGAGGAGGAACAGGACTCTGAGGAGGAGATTGAAGTGAATGAAAGCGACACGCAGAGCGACACGGACGTCGAGGCTGAGTATCTGCGTGGTAATGTAAGTCCAAAAACAACAACGGGTCAGATCCAACTGCAGGAGCTGACCATCAAAGAGTTTAGCCTCAACTATATCAACCAACTGCCCCCACAGCCCCATGCACGCCGTCAACAGATCTATGCCAAGCGCTCTGGCGGCGGCAGCGGCTTCGCCCGCCAAACCAATGTGAAATATGACACATCCTCGTCCGAGGACGAGGGACCCGTGGTCATCACCAAGACGGTGGCCGAAGTGAATTCATCGTCGTTGCAACCGGAGCAGACAGACGATGAATCCATGTCGGTGCGCACATTGATGCCAAAGAGCGGTAAGCAGCAGGACGATGGGCAATCAGAAAGTGATTTAACTGAAGTGGAGTTCGAATTGGACGACGACTTGGGCGCTGAAGAGATGATTTTTTCTGATAATGAATACGATGACGACCTTGCAACCGAGAAATGTAGCGATGACAAGGATGACATTGCAATATCCCAACTGGATGAGGGGGAGGACGAGGGAGATGAGAATGATGAAGATGAGGAGGAGAACAATAATCAAGATGCAAATGATACGCCCAATGTGGACCTCGTCAATGTCGCCGATGGTGACGACAGTGAGATGGACTCCGCACGCAACACAGACGGCGATGACGCAGATGATATGACCGTCCTGCGCAATCTGAACTTCCCAAATATGAAACGCAGTCATCAGTACCATCCAAATTTACCACGGAAACCAATTGTAGATGCTGAGGCACCGTTGGTCCCCAAGCTAGAGAACATCTACGATGATAATGGGGAAGAGGTCTATAAACTGGATGGCGATGAGCCTGCACCAGGTGATCCGCTCAATGTCAAGTTTCTGGAACAGCAAATGACCCAGATGTCGGAGATGATCATGAAGACGTTCCGCCTAAGCGGCGGCTCTGCTGACAGCAGTGCCTTGGAGCAGCTGGCACTGGCCACCAAATTGATGAAGAAACACGGCAAGCCGAAATCGTCCGATGTGGACCTATTGGAAGAGGAATCCGAATCCATCGATACGCCGGACACAGTGTGCTCAGAGAAATTGGGCCGTCGTAATTGCCGCTGTCCCTCAACCAGTGAAATCACTGAGACTGAGGAAGGCAGCGACTTTTTGATGGACGAATGTGGCCAGGGCGATGGCCTATTGCGCTATCCGCGCCAAAAGCAGCCGCACTCGGCTCGCCTACTCAGCTCAACGCCCAGTGGTCTGCGTAGCGAAACCACCGGCTACCGCTTGGACATACGACGCCCTCGCTCTGCCGCCCCTTCGGAGGTCAAGTAAGTACCGAGCCATGCATACTGTGTGAAAACAATCTCAAATGCGCTTTGCAGCTATAAGAATCTGGGACGCAAGAGCTTCAGCTTCACTAATCCCCAGGTGCGCGAAATCGAGCGGCAGAATAACATTTTATTGAAGAAAATGATGAACGTAAAGCCGACAATAAAACCGACTAATAATGCAGCCAAATCCAACACCAATATTCAAGCTAAGGTAGGCCCAAACAGATTACAGATATATATAAGATATAGGCATCTTTAAAACACCTGTTCCATCCAGAATCAAGGGCCGCCTGTAGCACGCAGGTCAAGTGCCGCTGTGAACCGCAAGAAGTATCAAAGGCAGATTGATTTGGACAACGATGTGCTGAAGCGTAAACTGGAAGCCGTTGGCTCACGCCGACCTATATTCAAGTGAACTCATCAGACCGTTGTTATTTCTGCAGATACTAAATATTATAATTTTAGAAATGTTTAAAGCGAATTTACCAAATTAAAATTTAATGCAAGTTAATACCTATTGTAAAAATATATAAAAATGTATGCGTATCAAAGATCGTTACAGTACTTTAAATTTTATAAATCTCTGTTAATGCATATAAGTATAATCTTAATACAATTTGAAATAAAATTTTAAGTATATATTGCCTAGGCCAAAGCCTAGGATTTCTTCATTGCAACTCTAGAGTGTCACCTCGTTGATCTTGGTGAGGAAGGTTTCACCTAACGCTTTGACAGCCTTGAATGCAGTTTCTCCGTTTTGTTGCTTGAACTCGGCCTCGTTCTTCAGTTTTGTCTGCTCGCGCTGCTCTATTTCCCTATAAATAACCTGACCAATCTAGAAAGATTTAGGAATTGGACTATTATTACAAACTTCTTTACTTTTGTCTGTAATACTCACATAAACATCTATGGCCGCGTACATCAGTTGGTTCTCGTCGAGCGGTATTACATGCCATTTGCTCATGCGCACCTTTTTGCTCTTGTCCATTGACTTCCTGGCTATGAAGTTGGCCAGTCGCTCCAGGCTCCACCTGCCGCCTGTCTCGCAGACCTCATTGCACCACACACCCAAATCAACGCATTTCTCGATCAGCGGCTCAGCTGCTACCTCAGGAAAGTCGCGCGCCAACTTGCGGAAATCGCTGAAAGTTTCGATGCCAATTAATATAAAAGATATAGATAAGATTTAAGAGAGCAAAGTATATTAGTTTTATGCATATATATATGCTATAGGCAGAAATAGGATTGTTTGACCATATTAAGACGCAAAGACAAGTTGAGTCAAGTTAAAGAGCCTTAATTGCCTGTTGTCTAGTCTGAGACTCCCGACTTTTCCTATATATGTACACTTACGCCTTTATATTCACGCCATGCAGCCGGACTTTGGGATGATTTATGAGTGCGACCAGCGCAGCTGGGATCTTCTTTAGTTTGCTTAGTTGATACACATAGCAGCAGCGCTCATCAACGCATATTTGTATAACGGATGACTTGCCGGGTCCCGTTTGGAAGGAGAAGGGCCACTCCATGTCAAAGGCCATGGGCACGATTTCTGCGTTGGTCTGCTTATCCACCCACTGCCTGATATACAAAATAATAATCAATATTTAAATACCAATATCTAATTCAGTCTCTATACTTACATGACCTCATCTGCAGAGGCGGCAATCTCTTGGCTTTCGGTGAAATATTTGATGGCACCGCGATACTTGATGAACGGTAACTTCTCTGGGACTTCCATCTCCGGCGAAGGCGTTCCGTCATCAGCCATGGAGCGTGTGCTGCGCGTCACTCGAGTGCTCCTGCGCTTGGGTGGGTTCTCAACCTCGGCGTTTTCTTTGTCTTTGATCTACAGCGCATTATAACATCTTTGTTACAGTAACTAAATATATAGTCAACCACTTACTTACTATTTCTGGAGTATCTAAATTCTTTCGCTTATTAGCAATTGCACTCTGTTCCTTAGCGACTTTCTTTGGCTTCGGCTGTTCTTCCTTAACAGTCTTATTCTTTAACGAAATAAATCATTATTTAGTAGGCTTTCCTTTTTTATGTGTCACTTAATACATACTTCCTCTGGCAGGACATTATTTTTTGATTTTACTGGCATTTTAATTAAATATTTATCCATGCCCTTTGACAATTTTGCTTACTAAAATTTGCCGCCAAAATAGCTGATAGTGTTGGAAAGCGCTTGCAGTAAACATTTCGTCTGCAGAAGCCTAAGCGTTTAGCGATAGTTGAACATCGTTGAACGAGCAGCAAGTTATTTGAACGTATTAATGTACTTAAACTTAGACAGCACAAAAATTGAAAGCATATTGTAAATAATCAAATGGTTTATCAATTGTTTAAAAAAATATTGTAAATATTCAAATTGCTTATCAGTTATCAAAAAATGATTCCACTTGCTGGCTAAACAATCGATGACGAGTAGTAATTGTACTCTATACGATAGTGCTATCGTATTTTAACATCTGTTATGCTCATTTAGAAGCTGTTTAATAACAGCGCGGCTAAATGTTAACGTTATAGAAGCCAAAAACATATGTTTCGGCCCATTGACCGGCATTGCTTTATTTATCTTACTTACAAAAACTTATATTAAAGAGTGCTGCAGGATGTCAGCAACAGTAGGTGCCCATTATATATCGGAGAAAATCTCCAAGGTGCGTTGGCTGCCAGAGAAGCTGACACAAAGCGAGCGATTCGTGACCGGCACCTGGGATATGGAAAACAATTTTGTGCGCGTGTGGCGTCTCCATGTGAACCCCTATGCAGAGAATGTGGAGCACACACCACGCTGCAACGATAAGGTGGCAATTGAGGGCGACGTCACAGGCTTAGAGTTTGTCAACGATGACATTTTTGCAGTGGGATGCTCCGATGGTAAGCGATGGTATAAGAAGAGGTAATGGATTGTGCTACATTTACCATTTGTGTCCACCCGCAGGTCGACTGAGCCTATTTAATGTACATCGAGCCGTCGAGGAGGATCAAATCCGACGAATAGCACACAGCGAACGTCTGCACGAGTTCAAATGCAGTCATGCAAATGCGCCCTGCACGGCAATCAATGTGTACGGCACGGACGTTGCGACCGTTGGCGAGGATGGACGCCTGAATGTGATGAATGCCAACAATTTGAATCAGGTGAAGCGCACAATTGATGCGGACAGCATGAGCCTGTTGACCGTCTCCTACGTCAACCAGCATCAAGTTGTGACGGCCAATCGAATGGGCGTCATTCGCATGTTCGATGTGCGCACAGCGGGCGATGGACAACCAAAAATCTCATTCATGGCCGCCTGCCAGGATACGAAGAGCTCGAATTTTGTCTCTGCCATGATCACGCATCCCATGCAACAGCACATACTCATCTGTGGCAGTGAAGAGGGCTCCATTACTGTCTGGGATTTGCGCCATCTGAACTATCCAGCTTCCTACTTGAGTGCTCATAGTTCGCCCATTACGGACATTGGATTTCATCGCCAAGATCCCTCTAAGCTGTTTACTGCAGCGGAAGCGGGCGAAGTTTGGATGTGGTCAGAGAAGAAGCAGCTCATTGATGCCAGCCAGAATGATAGCAGCAGTGCCTGGCTATCCGGCGACCGATTGCGTGCCATGGTCAATGTCGACGGCGTTCTGACCAACATACGCAAAGCGATCAATTCATTCGATGTCCATGGCTCCAGAATGGTCTGCGGCAGCGACACAGAAGCCGTTTACATTGTTAACGATGTTTAAGCAATGCCCTATTTATATTTCAATTCAAATACATTTCTACTTCTATGATACTTTTCTATACTTAAACAATTAGCTGTGTGTTTTCTAAATGTTAAGTTCAATTTTAGTATTTGTCAGATGTGACTTGGTAAAGTGTACCAAATATTATCCTTCTAATATAGTCGATCCTTGGTTGGATTATGTTACGGATTGCTAGCTTACATTCCTATTCACATACTTAATGTCCCGCTATACTATTTCGGCCTGTAAATTCTTACGGTTCTGAATGAGGAAATCGAATCTTCCACATTATTAGAGCTAGAATCACATTATCTGACAATATGAATTACTGATGAACTGATGAACTAATGACTCATGAGTGATGACTGATGACTGCTGACTGATGACTGATGACTGATGACTGATGACTGATGACTGATGACTGATGGCTGATGACTGATGACTGATGACTGATGACTGATGACTGATGACTGATGACTGATGACTGATGACTGATGACTGATGACTGATGACTGATGACTGATGACTGATGACTGATGACTGATGACTGATGACTGATGACTGATGACTGATGACTGATGACTGATGACTGATGACTGATGACTGATGACTGATGACTGATGACTGATGACAGATGATGAGTGCTGAGTGATGAGTGATGAATGATGACTGATGATGAGTAATGGGTAATGACTGATGAGTGATGAGTGATGACTGAAGAATGATGAGTGATGAGTGATGAACTAATGTCTAATGGATGATGACTGATGACAGATGAATTAATGACTGATGACTAATGGTTAATGACTGATAAGTGATGGCTGATGATTGATAAGTGATGACTGATGATTGATAAGTGATGACTGATGACTACTGATCTTCTTGGACAACTTCAATCAAAAGCTCCGACTTTCAGTTACTACAGCTTTAAAACTTTTAATACTCTTCGATTAAGTTATTAAAATTTCTAATTTTTGAAAGAAATATTCGAATCATAAAATTTTTTTTTAATTTGAAGGACTATATCTTGTAAAGTTGTTTGCTAATCTCACACTGATTTACCATATATGACTTCTTCAAATCGCCATATATTCTATTTTGAGGGCTCATCAATAGAACGTTTGTAAGCTTAGTTTAAATTTAAAATGCGCCTTGCTTAGGTATATACAAATTTTTAGAAGGTATACCCTTTTTAGATACATACGGATCAATAGCATTATGAAAAGTCGCCTGCAAAAATTGATTTATTTTTTTTAAATATATTTTATGCATTTTAATTTCAGTATTCGCAAAATTGGCTTAAATCAAAGCACCTGCCTTACACAATATATGGCTAACAATACAACTACAGTTAAATATACAATGTCTTAAATATATATATATATCTGGGTGCTGTGTCGGAACTACATAAGCGTAGTCAAGAATATGAAGCTACAAAATCATTATTCAATATGAAATTTGAAAAATCAAAACTATGCAAATATATTTAAAAAATTATTTACTGAAAAAATATAAAGAATGAAAATTGTTCTTAAGTGTTGAACTGATTTCTGCAGCGTTAACTTCACATTCAGTGTTACATTGCCTAGGTTTGTGTTTGACTTAAGGTAATATACTAATCGTTGGCTAATTTTGGATAGATTTATGCGTGTTTTTCAACTACCATATACATACACATATATTATTATTATAAACTAATCCATTGATACATTAATATTTATATATATATAAGCTAAGTGAATAATAAATACAAAATGATTTTTCTTTTTAATATTTACACTAAAGCACTTGGGCCTCAATTAAGTTTTTTGTTTGAAATTTCAATTAGACTTTGAGCATTTGCGATTGGAAATATATGTTATGGAATGGATTTAGCTGGTACCGTTTCATCTTCGACTCTAATAGAAACGCTCGAATTTGGGCGGCTTGTTGAGTGCGCAGAAATAATACCCTGAATAGTTTTGTGTGGGTGGAGTATAGTCGCCGATGCTGTAATTCCCATATTCATAGTTTGCCAAATGTGCGTGGGCGTGGGCGTGGTGATGCATGTGTGTGTGTGTGTGAGTGTGCGGGTGTGTGTGCGAGTGCGTGTGCGGAGGGTGATAATGCTGAAAACCGCCTGCACTGCGCGGCTTTTGTCATGTGAGTAGAGCACCGCCAATGCCGCCCGAGCCACCATTGCCACCACCGCCGCCGCCGCTGCTGCCATTCGAGTTGTTGCCATGAACGCGCATGTGCCGATTCAGATTGCCCGATTGCGAGAATCTACAGACACACACACATATATATATATATATATATATATATATATATATATAGAGGAAGTTGGGGTTAGTTATTTGGTTGATTCCAGTTTGGACTTCCAGTGGATGGGCGACTCACCTGAGCAAACACAATTTGCATTGGTAGGGCTTCTCGCCGCTGTGGATGCGCAGATGCTTGGTCAGCGTGGAGCTGTCCGAGAAGGACTTCTTGCAGGATGAGCAGCGATAGGGCCGCTCGCCGGAATGGGTCCGCATGTGCGTGGTTACGCTGGAACTTTGCGAGAAACGTCTATCACAAATGGGACAGCGGAACGGCTTCTGTCCGGTATGTGTGCGTACGTGGGCCGTCAGATTGGCGGCCTGTGAGAAGCTCTTGTTGCAGTCCGGACATCGATACGGCCGCTCGCCGGAATGGGTGCGCAAGTGCGTCTTCAATGTGCTCGGCCTAGCATACGTCTTGCCACACAGGCGGCACAGATTCGGCTTCATATCACCGCCGGCACTGCCCTCGCCATCAGCATCGCCATCCTCGATGCTCTCCTCCTCGTCCTCGAAGGCGGACAGGCCGAGACTCAGCGCTGCAGCCTGATAGCTGGGGCTCTTGTGTGGCGGCGTATAGCTCTGGCCGCCGCCCGTCGCATAGTAGCCCAGCGCAGCGGCTGTGCTGGAGACGGGCGGCGATGGCGTCGACTCTTTGTCGGCCAGCGATGGCAGAGCGTTGAGCGCAGTTGGCGGCGGAGCGCGAAAGTCGGCCGTAAAGGAATAGGTGGCCGAGGCCGGATAGTGCGTGGGACTCAATAGCGGCGGATAGAGCACATTGACAGCCGCCGAGGAGCTATTTGGCGGCGTCCAATTCATTTGGGAGCACGGCATGGGCACGGCACCAGCATCGGCGCCGTAGCCATGATGCATGGTCATGTTCATGCTCACATTGACACTCATACTGGGATACATGGGCGGTGCGCTGGCATTGCTGGCGGCCTCATAGTAGCAGCCGCTGCCCGAGCCCGAGCCAGCGCCTCCGACGAGCGGCCCGTTGCCTAGGCTGCTGCTGTGGCCGTGGAGCGCGTTACCACCGTGCGATGCCTGCTGCAAGTGCTGCGACTGCAGCTGATGGGAATGCGTGGATGACTGTGTGTGCGGCTGCTGCTGCTGCTGTTGCGGCTGATACTGCTGCTGATGGTGATGCTGGCTGCCTGTGGGTGAGATCAGCATCTGGTGCGGATGCACGGTGTATGAGAGCGAGGCCTGGTGCGGATTGCTGGCAAAATTGTAGGACGCGCCGCAGGGCGAGAACGGAAAGAGGCTGGGCAGCGGATCGATGTCCAGCGGCGGTAGGCCAGGAAATGTGGATGCCATCTCGTCGGTGCTCCAGTAGCTGCCGTTGCCGGTCAGCGAGGCGACGCTGTTGTTGTTGTTGTTGTTGCTGTTGTTATTGCTGGCCGGCGGCGTGGTATTGATCTGACTGCTGAGCACACCAATCGTCGGATCAAAGCAGCCTCCGCAATCGAAGTCGCTGCTGGTCAGCGAGGAGATGGGCAGGGCGGTGTTGCCTTGGCAGGATAAGCAGCCGACGCAGGATGCAGCGCACTCTTGCTGCAGATGGCGATAAAATAAAAAACGAAAATTAACTCAAAAAGCTCCTGCAACACCAGTGTCAAGTGATTTTATGGCGAAGCGCGTCAATGTACCTGTGGACTGTCCAGCGCCAGGCCGAATAATGGATTATTGGGCACATAGCCCGTTTCTGGTTCCACAGGACCTCCGTTTGAGACATCGCACGATATGTACATAGCTCCACCCTCTTGATCTTCCAGGGAATCTGCGCAGGAGAGCAAATCAGTTAACTTCATTGGAAAAATGCTTGCAAGCAATGCCCAAACATTTCATACAGTTCACAACTAACTGCGGCCCACTGTGCGCCGCGCTAAACTCCGCCCCTAAACACATTCAAGCACAAATATACATTCATACACACACACACACAGACACAACAGACGCGAGCAAATAAGCACACGCGACGCCATTTGCTTTGCTCTTTGCCTATGTTCTCTGCTCTCTTTCTCTTTCCCTCTCTCTATCAGTCCTCTGTCCTCGCTGCTCTCTTTCTCTCTCACTCTCTAGCTAACTCTGCTCAACTCTGTATTTTGTGTTTTAAAAACTCACCCAGAATTATGTTCAAGAGTTTGGAACCTTTAAATAACAATCCCATGACATGACTCCAGCTGATTTTTGCGTTTTATTTCTCGTTTTTCTACGTTTCATTTTGTCGCATCAATTGCCATTTCCAGCTGCAAAAGGTGAACGCAAATTATTTACTTATTTAATCTGATATCTAGGTTGAGTTTTGTTCAGATATAATATAGAATAAATAATATGATATAAAACAAAAATAATTATGGAGGTAAGTTAACCTGGCTTTTTTGTAAAACATTTCAGTTATAGATATAATAATCAGCTTTATCTATATTTTTTTATATATTTATTTATAGGTATATTTTAGATATTAGATTGAATAAAATTTCAATACTTTTAAAAGCCTAGCTAGACAATAATTAAATTCTAATGAAATTGTCAACACAGAATAAAGCTATATTTTTTCGAAAATTTCGTTGATTCCGAACCGACATACCGAATTGATAAATCATTGTGTCAATTATATTTTCAAAAATTTAAAATTAAAAAAAATAAATAATTGAAAAAGTAAAGTAGGATTCTTGTTTATTAAATCTAGCTGAACTGTTGTTTCTTAGCTCACATAAAGGTTTTGAAA